TCTCTCTCTCTCTCGCCTCTCTCGCTCACTCATTCTGTCTCTCCTCCTCCTCTCTTTATCGCCTGGGGGCTTTCACTCACACATAAGATCAGCACACAAAATCCTGAACATAAAAGCGTTCAAGCCAATAAGATAATCGGTTTAAATGGAACACCTCACTAAAGTGGGACAAATTGGCCCATTCTAAAGTAGAACTCTCAACTTGCCCGTTTTTACCAGTACTGTTCAAGCCATTTCGTTATTTCCCCGTTAATATTATTGTTCGGGCCAATTACTTGCAAAGCTTTCAAGGCAGGAACTGAACTATTTTCGCATGAGACACATAATTACAACGCCGGTTCCCCAGACAAGAAGAGAAAGAAAAAGGACGTGGGGATTTAATGCTGGACGACCAAACAGAAAACAATAAACATCCAAATTTCCTTTCCAACTCGGCATCACAAGAGAGAACGGATGTAACACTCCCATCAGATTGAATTCCCCAGTAACTTTAAACAAGTGAGAAACACATGACATATGGCTAGGTGGGCTTGTTCTGGAACAGCTGCTAAAGACCTTGGACAAAATAATTACGTAATGACATGACAGCGTCTCAAGACAATTTTAGAAACCATTCATAACATCTCAATATCCCCTCCCCCTTTATTTTCAAAAATACTCAAAAGCAAACATTCACTTCGTTGACACTCTCAAAACGACCAAATACACGCCAGTGTCTTGTGGTGAGCGTGTGAAAAACACACTTTTCTCTTTTTTTAAAAATAGCCTATTCATTTTTAAAAAATAAAGAATGTTATCATTGCGTCTTTTCCTTTGTCTCTGGCGTTCACTTGGATTGTGTCTTGTTATTATTTTCCGGTATTCTCCATGCAGCGTTGATGTTTTAGTTTGTATGCTTTTGTCTTTGAGCTTTCTTTGTGGGTGTGTGTGTGGTTTTTTCTTTCTTTTTGTTTGCTTCATTTGCTTTTTTCAGCTTATTTATCCGTTTGCTAAAGGATAATGCCGATGGTCGGACCACTGTTACTATTACAGCCGTGCATGTCTGGATACTTCGATACTTCTTAAAATGGAACTTTTTGACTATACATATCAAAAGATCAAGCTCGGGGATTTACATTAAGCCTGCTATTACGGAAATCCTGTTATAACCGAGACTGCAAAAAGAAGGGCCCATTGCATTCTTAAGCTCGGGTCATTTGAAAGGTTTTCGAGGCTCAAAATTCATAATATTATCAGACTCGTTCTGGCCGTTCGGAATACAAGAAGGATCAAGCTGGACAGCAGAAATTGCCAAAAACACTTGCTACTTCTAAAAATAAGCATGTGGTTTGTTTTTTTGCAATTTCAGAAAATCTCTCTCTCTCTCTCTC